GCAGCACGGCACCTCCTCCATATGGCCTAGGAGCTAAGAATGGGTTTCCACATGTTCTACTGATTAAAAAGACTAAACAAAAGAGATTTCGTGGCATATGAAATCTAAATTCCTTCAAATTGCAGGATCCATAAAAAAGTTTAATTGAAACACAGTCATGCCTTCAACCACAGGGCAGGGATGAGTACTAAAACAGACAAGGCCAAAATATTTACTATCTGGTTCTTTATAAAAAGAAGCTGACCAGCCGCTGCTCAAAAGGATAAATGGGATTTTAGTGGGGAAGGCCTACGGATAGGTAGAGAGAAACCTGAAAAAAAAAAAAATGAAGGGAACCTAGAATATCATAAGGACAGTGGGAGGAGCAGCTTGACTAAAGCAGATTGTCCAAAATTGGCAAGTAGTGATTTAGTCCTTGGTGAGCCAGTACTGTTGTACTGAGCCTTTTGTACTACCGTAGTAAGTGATCACAAACATTCTCAGACTTTATAAAACTGGCACTATTATTATCCCCATTAATAATTAAGAAACCAGTAATTTGATAAAGAAACTAAGACTTGTGGAAGCTCAGTAATGGACCCAAGATTACAGCCAGCAAACAGAGCTGACCTATGATTCTAGCTTCCTTTGCCCCAGCCAGAGCCCACAGGTCAGATGCTACACCACACAGGTAACATAGGGAACTACATCTGCAAAGGTTAAGTTAGGGCAGAACTAAACGTTTTCAAATGCAGGTATAAAGAATAATGATTTATCTTCTCCCCAAAGGCAGGATTCCCTACTGCATTTAAACAGTTGTCCCATGAATTGGTCCAGTGTTCCACACTTAAAATCAAACTCTTGTGGCCTGTTCTTAATGCTCAGGAGAAAAAAATAATATATGTGAGCTTGACTTTATCAATCTCAAGTATCTTCCAGAAACAGTTCTTACATCTCTGAAAAAGATGGTATATTATAAAATCAGTGAGCAAGAGGCAAACCAACTTTAGGAAAATTTTAGCTGTTATCCTTAGCTCAACTTTTCTGTTAATGGATTAAATGCTCAACAGATGTTATCTTATTATTTTAAGTTTAAATGATTAATTGACTATATCAATCCCATAACAGTTAGCTCAATTATCTGGAAGTGGTTTTAAGATTAAGGTATTCTTCAAGAAAAGTATGAGTGCTATTCAAGAGCGACATACAAACTAAAAATATCAGATTTATCTACACATTAGCAGCATCTATTAGTTGCAGCTATAGACACTAAAAGATAATATTCAATGTTACTTGGCATACCCCATCCCTATTGGGCTAAGTCTAAGCAACACTGTTCAGCAGAAACACTATACAAGTCGCGCACATAATTTTAAATCTTTGAACAGCCACATTTTAAAAAAGCAAAAACAAGTTAAACCAATTGGAGTAATAGTTCCCTTAACCTAGTACATTAAACAAGTTCTCAACAATTATTTAGTGTTGAAGAACTTGAGCTATTTTCCACACTAAATCTCAAAATCTGGCATGTATTTCACACCACAGCACCAGTCATCTTCCATGTGCTCCGTGGCTGCTGGTGACTGTATGGAACAGCGTAGGCCTGGGGACAGCACTTCTGAAGATCACAGCAGGAAAGAGGCTGTGGATTCCAATCACAGGGAATCCACAGGGTCAAACCTTGAAAGTGAAGGGTGTAAGTAAAGAAAGCAAGCCTTTTGCTCTCATAGTCTACCGTTGAAATAAAGGAGAAGCCAAGTCAGAAATGACTATCAAACCACAATAGATTATTTCAGCCTATCTTTGAGCAATCTGTTTGGGCTTCTTAAAGAAATGATTTTACAATGACTGTTTTCACCACATTTTAACTAGTCAGGTTTTAATGGTGGTTTGGGATTATCCAGAATGCCCTCTCCCCTCCTCCATTTTCCTCACACCATTCCCCCATTCCCTATTTCAAAGTTATCCAAAAAGAACCTACTTCAAGGTGTTTGCACAATCTGAACAACTTCAAATTCTCAGTTATGGACAATAGGAAGCCAATGATAAGACTTTAAAAGGAAATTGCAATCACCTAGCTAATTTTTACTTTTTATATAGTTTTCATATTTTCTGTGTTTTCTACAGTAGTCATGTATTATTGATGAACTATAAGAAAAAAGAAATTTAAATATGTGGCAATTGAGGCAGTGTCAATCATTTTAGGGTTATATTGAATTGTTATGCTATTACATTTAAGACCTAAAAGCATTCAGGACCCTTCAGAGACAGGGATTTGGCATTACCTATAAAATATAATCCTATTCACATGTAAAGTAAGCTTACACACTAATTGGTGGAACATGATCTAAAATGTTAGAAAACAAACTGGTTTCGCGTAAATCATGCTTTGAATACTAATACCTTCTACAGATGTGAGGTTTAGTGATGAAAATATATTGTTGTGTGAACCCAATAATACACAGATACTGTGAAAATCATCCTAAGACTGCATAATTTGAAACTTCTGGCACATAGTTAAGCTTCTATAGGACTGTGATTTATACAATAAAACAACAAAATATGCTAAATTTAGCCTTTATTGACATTAAAAGATTAAAAATTGGAAAAGGTTATTTCAAATTCACTCAGTGTTTGCTAATAGAGTGAAAGGGAAACCAAATTCTGTATCAATTTGCTAACTTCTATATCATTACCATGTTTTAAAGTGTTCCAATTAAAATTTCTTTTTATCATGCTCTTAAAGATCCTAGTTACAACTTACCATATTTTTATGCAAATCAACAATCACCACTTCTATTAAAAGATAGACTGAAAAAACATTTCTATACTTCACTAAAAGTGGGGTGGTCCCTGGTGACCCAAGAGATTAAGTCTCAGCACTATGAAGCTATCTGCAGTAGGAGTGTGATCCCAGACCCCAGAGCAGACCCACATTGTGCAGATCTCTCCAGTCTCACCTGCGGCTTTCTCAGCAGTGTGTTTCAGTACCTCTACGTGTTCTACTCCCCACCTGTCTCTCAACCCCACCACCTCTGGCCTACATCCCAGCTCCTGTATACAGAAGAAAATAAAGATAAGTGAACCCATGTAACAAGATTGTCATACCAATAAATATGCCATGATTGGCTCATTAAGAGTTACTGAAATGTCCCACCAACAAATGCCCCACCCACATGGCAACAGTAATGTGAATATTAAATCATAGGTGATTTATTTCAATAGGAAGGACTCACTATAAAGTAATTTAATCAAATAGCAGAAGGTGACTGTACTTGGTAAAACAGCAGTTTGATCACCAGAGCATAATCAAGAAAGGGTGCTCCAGGTATAAATGATTATGGGATATCACCAGTTATTTGTGGAAGTAAATGCAGGGAATGTCTTGGTCCAAAATTTAAAAAGGTAGATGTGCTAACCTCTACTGAACAGTTCACACTTAAGGGGTTTCTTTTATGTCAGCTTCACCTCAATTTATCTTAATATTGTAAGCTGTAAAAGTTACTTTCAGAAACACCCAATTGAACCAATATCGTTTCAAACACAGCTTAGCCCCATCTAATCCTCATTAAAAGCAAAACTAACAAACACTTGTTTTCTCAATTCTAGAGCAACAACATACCAGTAAGATCCATCAATGTAGAAGCTGTTGGCGAGCTGTGAGTGGAGTGGCAGAGAAAAGAAAATACACCTTCAGCCTTCAAAAAGTTTACAGCAAAAGATGGAGTGATAATAAAGGGAACGGATCAGAAAAAGAGGCCACACAACAGTCACGAGTGATTTTGCTTTTAATAATGGTAAGTATCGTTGAGTTAGAAGAACTTTGAGGGGAGAGGAGTGATGCCCTGGGTAGGATTTAAAGAGGTGAAGGCGAAGAATTAGATACAAGGCTGGCTGGCTGGGTCTCAACACTTTTAATCCTCGATGACAGCACCAAAACCAGCCTTCCTTGTGCAGAAGCGACACATACATTGCTTGAAATTTGACTGAAATCCAACAAATCCACCCTGCAAGGCTAAACACGCACACACAAAATTCAACTGCCACTCTTAGAAGAGCACCTAATACTTGACCAGAGACTGGAAGATACTTAATGAAAGCTGCTGATCAGCTGGAAACTACACACCATCAACCTGCTCCCCCAAGACCTGCTCGGGCCTTTGCACTCCACACCAAGAGCAGGATGACCTCGTGCTCCGCCCGGCCCACCCGGGGCTAGTTTACCAAATCTGGCCCACACATGCCATCCCCGCATCCCTCCAGGCGCAGCTCCCAGGCCTGGCGACGCCAACTTAGAAATGGGGGGTGGGGTGGGAGCAGCAATCAGTGGCAAGTGGGTGGCGCGGCCTCACAAGACAAAGCAGGACGCCCCAACCCAAGGAGCCCTCCATCACGCGCGCCCGCTGCCCGCCCGGCCACCGCGCCACCCCCGCGCCGGCCCCGGAGCCCGGCAGGCGGAGACGGCCCGCCGCACCCCGAGCACCCGCCGCACCCCGAGCGTCCGCCCAACCGCCGCTGCAGGAGCGCGCAGGGCGCCCAACTGCCGTCCCGGCCCAACCAACGCGGGCAGGGGAGGAGAGGTGCGCGCGGCCCGCGGAGCGTGCGAGCCACTCGGGGGTCGCAGGGAGAAGGCTGCGCGCGGGGAAGGCAGGGGCGAGGAGGCGCCGAAGCCATCGCTGAGCGCAGGGCCAGGAGGGGCTCCTTTAGGGGATTTTGCCCCTTTCCCCTTAGAAGGTGCAGATGGTTTGACCCCCCACCCCGAGAGAGGTGCCTCGTCCCAGCCCCGGCTGGACTGTACCATCGGGCGGTGCCGCCGGGATTTCTCCCCCCCACTACCACCATCAATTTCTCCCCCCCCCCCCACCCGGGTCCGCGGTCGGTTGGCCCCGGCCGGGCTCTGAAACGCGGAAAGAGCTCGGCGCCATTTTGGGTGGGACTAAGCAAAGACGAAACACCCTCCCAGTCGATGGGATACTCTGGACGCTGGCTTATCCGGTTCCCTTAATCCTTTAGGTACTTACACGACGTTGGGTGAGGGGAGCTGGAAGATCAGCGGGTCCCCGATCCTCTCTCCCTAGGGGTGATGGAAATCAAACCCCCCCGCCACCTCCAGGTGGTTCTTCCCGCCGCAGAGTGGGAGCAGCATAAAAGGCGGGGCCTCGTTAGCATAATCTGCCTGGCAACCTGATCTCGACGATAGATGATTGGCTGAACCCTGTAAACCCCATGCCCTGCCTAGAGACGAGTAACGCTGGGGCGAACTGACAGGCCCAGATTTAAGAGTCATGACGAAGATCCTGAGATGCTTATTCAGTCGGCCGAGAAGCCAAAAGGAGACTCCCACAATGGCCCAATGACTGAAGACCTCTTTATTTCGTGCTCTGCTGTTCGTTTAAAAGCCAATCAAAAAGCCGGTCTCAGGCGGCGGTCGCCTGCGTTTGTATTCCAAGCCAATCAGGAAAGTCGACTCTTCGTGTTCAGGGTTTAGCCAGCTTTGCACGCGAGGCGGGCAGTTGTCCACCTTAACCTTGGTGCCGGAGTTAGAGAGCGTCGGCTACTCGGGGTTCAGAGCCAGCCACATACACATCAGAGATCTCTGTGTCTAGAGAAGTTACGCCTGGGGATGTGGTGGGACCATAGGCCGTTTTGCACCTGAGACGGCCTACCTGCGGAGGGCTCCGCTGAGCCGCCTGCGGCACCTACTGCATCCGCAGCGGGGGGCTGGGCCACTGGGCCTTAAACCTCCTGGGCCTCAGATTCAAGTCACGGGGTGCACGGCAGGTCCAGCCAGCAGTGCCCGCTCCACCTCAGACCGAGAGGCTTGCATTTGGGCTCAGCCCCTCCCAAACCCCCAGTGCCCCACTGCATCTCACCTTTTCCTTTTACCATTTGAATAAAAGGAGATGATTTTCAGAAACATAAATATTAATCAAGCCTGGTAAGCCAATGCATAGCTCACATCTTTCTTAATATAAGATTCCACATTCCTACTGTCCCTTAAAGTTATCTTATCAAACTGCAACCAAGTGTATAGAAAGGAATTTAAGCTTTGGAGGGAGACACCGAGCTCCAGATACCCACTGGCAATCGACTGGGGCACCTTAGACCTTTGTATCTCTAGAGAACAATTTTCCTATCCATGACATTGACTATACTGCGTTATTTTAAAGATTAAATGATATTTACGTGTAAAGAAGAACGTTAACAAATTGAAGTGTCAAGGGTGATGAAACATAGAAAATGGCTACTGATAATCAAGAAAAATAAGGAAGTTCAACGAATCAAAAGATTTGAGAATGGAAAATACCCACAGGGGGAGGGATACAGTGGGAGCAAGGAACAAAAGTTAACAATATTCTCTTTACTGTTTTATTTTAAAAATTGGAAACAAAGTGGAGAGAATTGGAGAACATTGTTTTTAAAACTCCACGACAGTTGACTACCTTGTAAGCAATTTGCAGACCATAATAACTGGACTACTATATTCCACAGACTCCTGGAACTCACAGCAAAAGCTAGCAATGAACACAGTTGAATTCATTGCAAGGAAAGTGTAATTTGGAAGATGAAGAGCTTAATATTTGTAATAAGAGATACTATTAACTCACCAAAGGCTATAAAGACTTGGAAGTCAGTTGCCTTAGGAAAAATCATACTGGGTTGTTTTTTTTTTTTTTTAAGATTTATTTATCGCTTCTCGGCCTTTTGGCTAAGATCAAGTGTAAGATTTATTTATTTATGCATACAGAACTGAGGTACAGGCCAGAAGTGCAGGAGCAGTGAGAGGATTCACCAGTGACAGAGTAGGGAGCAGAACAGGCAGATCTACAAAGTACACTGCTGAGGGGAGCAGTGAGCAGGGGTAGGAGAGGTCTGCTGTGCCATGTGGGTCACCTCAGGCAGAGAATCAAACTGACATTGAAGTGGCTGCAGCTAGCTTGCAGTGCTGCACTAAAGCCCACTGCGCCACCAAGGAGGACCAAAATCATATTGGTTAAGAGAGTTACTCCACAATTCCCTTTTAGTGCTGTGAGTGTCAGATAATGCCAGAGATTGCACAAGTCCACTCCTATAGTTTCTTAAGGATACCCCCGTTTTGAGATTTAACAGTTGGCATGATTCCAACTGTATTGGACTGACCAGAAATGACACCACTGAACCAAAAGCGGCACTTGCAATGAGGAATGGGGCTTTCTAAACTGGGGAGCCCAAATTACCCTCATAGTTTTAGAGGAAGGATCTAAAACTGCAAAGTGTACAAACCCGAGGTGGTTGTTTTTTAAATTCAGTAAGTCTGGACAGAACCTCAGGTTATATAATTTTTATTAATTTTAATATTAATTTCGTGTTATGTTAACTTTACGCTATGTATTAATAACATAAGTATAACATATGAACGTTAATATCAATTTTTTAGTTACACACAGTAAAACCCTTTTTTTTTTTTAGGATACAATATGTACTGTGTAAGTAAAACAGTGACTGATCTCAATGTGGACTGAACAGAGAATCCAAAAATAGTCTCAAATCTTGTGGAACTTACATTCTATTAGAGACAATAGAAGAAATTAGTAAGATAATTACAGGTGATAAATACTATGAAGAAAATAAAGCAGCAAAATATAAAGGGAAGAGAAATGTTGGCAATTAAAATGATTATTAAAAGAAACAAGTATTGGTGAAGATGCAGAGAAAGGAGAACCCCTGTACCTAATGTAAATTAGTTTAGCCATTATGGAAAATATTATGAAGATCCCTCAAAAATTAAAAATTGAAGTTCCATGTGATCCAATTATCTAACTTTTGGGTATTTACCCAGAAAAACCAAAAACACTCATTTAAAAAGATAGATGGGCCCCATGTATATTATAGCATTATTTATATAGTCAAGAGCTAGAAACAACCGCAGTGTTCATTGACATATTAGTGGATAAAAAAAAGTGAGACATACATATGATGTATATGTATGTGATATATATACATACACACACACAACAGAATATTACTCGTCTATTAAAAAAGAACTACCATTGGCAACAACATGGATAAAGTGAGAGGGTATGATGCCCAGTGAAATAAGTCAGAGAAGAGGAAATACCATATGGTTTCACAAATGGGGGATATATAGAGAAACCAAATAGACAAACTAAAACAAACTTTTAAACTATAAGACCAACTATGGTTACCAAAAGGAAAAGTGTAGGTAAATCCAGTAAGAAGTCAATTATATGGTGAAGGATGAAATTAGACTTTTAGTGGCTTATTTAATATAATACATGTAGATATTGATTTCTTTTTTACATATTGAATGTCAGTAGCACACCTGAAACTACATGTGCTGTCAAGTTCAGTTTTAAAGTAAAATACAAAATAATGATTGCACATGGGTGATTTGGTGATGGGAAGCCCAAGGGGATTGCAAATGAGATGGAAAAGTGCACAAAATGATGTAAAAATAAACTTATATATAAAAAAACAAAAACAAAATAAATAAGATGCCAAATATGTTCTTTCTAAGATATTAACATTTGAGCAGTGACTTGAATGATGAAAAACCCTAAAGTACAGTACATGACAAGCAACTCCCTTTCTCTTTTTTAAAGATTTACTTATTTTTAAACTGGAGTACAGGCCAAAGATGCAGGAGCAATGAGAGGATTCATCAGAGGTAGAGCGAGGATCAGAACAGGCAGATTGACAAAGTACACTGCTGAGGGGAGCAGCAAGGAGACAGGAGAGGTCTGCTGCACCTCACCGGTGGTCACTTCACTGGCAGTCACCTCACTGGCCAAGGATTGAACTTGCACTGAAGTGGCTGCAGTGAGCTTCATGGTGCTGCTCTTCAAACCGTTGTGCTACCAGGGAGGACCCTCTCTTTTCTCAATCCAGCAACATCTCATCATGCACTTTGAGCATCTTGGCTGATGCAAATTCAAAGTTCTGTGTAGAATGTAAAAATAAATGATCTTCATATTCCCTAACTGCATGGAAATTTGAGGCAGGTCTCTTAAGGAACACTTTTCTGAACCCAAAGGAGAATCTCATCATCTGGGAGATAAAACAGTGAAACAGATAAACTGTTCTAACAGTTGAAAACAAACATTTACTCAAGAACTATCTACAAGGAACATAATTTAAAATACACAAAACTTAAACTTTATATACAGAAAACCCAGAATAGACTGTAAATTAACTCTTGTTAATCTTGGGGGCTATGGGATATATTATTTTCTTCTTAAGTCTTAATCTACTTACATCTCCTCTGACCTATGAGAAGAGAGAAAAATAAATAAATGGCTCTTAAGGTCATACATTTGAACTTAATAAGCACAACCTAAACTTAACTGGAGTCTTTCCAAATGCCAGCGATCAGCTCTTTGCTGTGCTAAGCCTGCACAATTGTTATGTTCTTGCCCTAACAATGGGCATTAACAAAGCCAAGCTCTTAGTCATAAAAGAGTTATGCTGGGCAAAAGCAGAGTAGAAAATTGTGGAGGTAAATAAATACATAATAAGTAATGAGTGAAAGAAGTCTGTTCTAAGTAACTTTTGAACTCAGAATTTAAAGGATGAATGAAGACAACTAGGATCTTGGAGAACATCTGTACATGTTTTTGTACATTCATTCTTCCATGGAATAAATATTCATTAAGTACTTAATGATATGCCAGGCCCTGCCCAAGCTGCTTGGTGATTCATCAGTTAACACTACAGATGAAAGCAAAAACATAACACATAAAAATTCATGTCTTTATGAAACTTTCATTCTAGCATACTGAAAAAACTGTAATTGCTGAAACACAGGGAAAGGACCGTGATACAAAAAACTTAGGAAAATAAGCAAGGGTCACATCATATAAGACTTCAAAGACTCTGATATTGGAGTCGTTGCTGTGTATTTAATGCAATTTAAAGTAGGTGGAAGTTTTTTAAGTTGGGGTATAACACAACTTTTAAAAAAAGCTGAGGCTGCTTTAGGAGGACAGGTAAGAAATGAGAGAAAAAGAGGGTAATTAGGGGTAAGTTACTCTGTATATTTCTTTTATTTAAAATATTTTTTATTTATGCATACAAGAACTGGAGTACAGGTCAGAGG